CAGAAAGGAACCCTGAACACCGGGGTCAAAGGCCAAAGGGAAACAGCATCGCCTGCAGCCTTGACTGGCAGCCGCCGGGGCCCACGGGCTGGGTTCACCCGGCTGAGCCCACACTGTACCCCCGTCCTGGCCTTGAGGGGGTTGGGATTTAAGTGACTCCGAGATTTGGGCTTATTTCAGTGCCGATGCTACAGGCCAGTCGAGGGAGGGCCCTGTAGCCGCGTGCAGTGCACCGGGTGCAAGCGTCAGAGTCTGCCCCTCACAGATGGCACTCAGGGAGGTCGGTGTGCCCGGCCCCTTTCTGACCCCCAGGCCAAGCAGGGCATAGCGAGAGTGTGGCGTGAACGGGCAAGTGTCTTGGTCCTGTGAAAATAACGTAGGGAGAAACCACCGTGTCCACCGCGTCCGTGTGACCGAGCGTCCCGGGCGGAAGGCGAGTGGCCCCTGCCCCTGCCGCGGCTGTGCGGTGTTCTCCGCCACTGCCAGCCCTGCGTGTCCGTCTGGGTCTTCTGCGGGCGTTCTTAGGGTTACAGACGCGGACGTTGCCGTGCCGTGCTCCGGGCTTTGCTCTGAGGTGGCCCTAGGGGCTCCTGCTGCGATGCAGGAGTGCGACATTAAGCACGCCTAAGCGTAAGGGTGTCCTGCAGAGCTGGGACTGGCTTCCGGACCTGAGCAGCTGCCTGTTGAGCTGTCAGACTCTCCGCTCTCTGCTCGGGCTTCTAGAGCGTCCCGGGTCAGAACCACCTGCACACTCGCCCCGAGGCTGCCGAGGCGGCTGCAACAGAAAGGCCGTCGCTTCCGGATCCAAGTCCTGGGTCTACTGCTCATTAGCCCTGGGACCTTCAATAATTGCACGAATCTTTTGAGTCTCAGCTTTTTTTTTTTTTTTAATGTATTTTTATTGATTTCAGATAGAAGAAGGGAAAGGGAGAGAGAAATATTAACATGGATGAGAGAGAAACATCGATTGGCTGCCTCCTGCACGCCCCCTGCTGGGGATCGAGCCCGCAACCTGGGCACGTGCCCTAAGTGGGACCGGAACCCGCG